CAGTGAAGAGCATCATAAGTTCATGTCTGGCTCAGTCGCTAGCAGAATCCGGGAGTGTACCTCCCCCAACATAAAAGTTTCGTTACCCCCAGCCGTTTCCGCCCCTCCCTGCGCCTCAAACTACTGCGCAGGATGGGCGATGGCAAGGGCGTGCTTCCCTCCTCTACTACTTACGGCTCCCACTAGCATCCTCTGGTCCTTGCACCTCTTCCCGACTGGAGGTGGGGCTTTCCTCCTCCCCGGAAAAGGAACTGCTTTGCAAGATTTTCGGAGGCTCCCTGTGACACAACTGCCCTTCTATCTCTCGCCTCTGAGCCGATGGCAGTTCCCTGACAGTTTGACTCTTGTAAAAATGTTGTTCATAGGGAGGGTGATTTATTTAATAGTTTTAATCTTGGGTGTAGTCCTGTATTGCATTTTTGACCATCTCTTGCTTCAGTATTGCACATTCCTGATGCAAAAAGACTCAAAAGTCACACTTGCTGTTGGGGGGTGGGGCGAGGGGGGAATGAGTCCTAATTCCTGACAAAAGGCGTCTCCTAAAGACTGGTGCAGGGACCTGAAAGTGTCATGTCTTTATTTTTAATGCTTCTTTCAGTATAATGACTTCTTGCATGAGCAAACCAAGTAAAGAATAATGAAAAAGAAGCAGCAAATGTAGCCAGCAACGAGGTGCCAATAACCTTGAGACTTTGAAACTTTGCAAATGTTTGCTTGAGTGAAATTCTCCTGTGTATCACCAAATAAGAATGAGCTGAGGTCACTCTTGGCAAGAGCAGAACCCTCCCCCCCCCCCCCCGCACAAACAGCATAACATGAGAAGCAGGGAGTGTGTGGAGGAAGGGGACAGGAAAAGGAATCAAGGAGGACTGGATAACATTGTAGACATAATTTTTGTTTGAACATATTATATGCAAAAAAGCAGCTTGCTTTGTTTGCAGGCTTTGAGTACATAAATATACAAAAATTAGGGATGCTTTTGCTGTCTTTCTACGCCATAGTATTGTGAGGCAATGGCACAGAATTTCCTACTTAAAGTTGCATAATTCTTTGTGGTTCTTGTCCGGTGATATTTTGGGGGCTGCCCTGATTTAAGTCTCCACTCCAGCAAAATTGCCAAAATTCAACAGCAAAATTTTGTCAGGCTTATGAAACTCATGGCAACTGCCGTTTGTGAGTAGTCAGCCAGCCTCTGGCATATGGGCCTGAGAAGCCCCTACTCCTAAATAAATTTTCTGCTTTGTCACTTTCTCCTTTGTGAGATGAGGCACAGACCCCAAAGCCCCTTAAAACTTTCTTATATGCACCCTGTGAGCAGCAATGCAATTATGGCCGTTAGGCACGTCAGGTGTCTGGATTGGCAAGTGGAAGCCCAGGAAGGCAAAACAGCTGCTGCCACCAAGTTACAGACAGGCATCCAGACACACACCGAGCGCTGCCAAGCCAAACAAAAGAGAGTGGCGGAGCAGTATCTGTAAAGCCATGACAGCAAGGCATTGCGGGAGTGGAAGTTCAAGGGGAAGGGTACACGAGCAGCTCCCCAGTGGCTGTTTGGCAAACTAGTTTTATTTTTATTTGTTTTATTTTTAATATTTCTATACTGCTTTATATTTTTAAGCAAACTCTCAAAGTGGTTTACAGCATATTAATTCAATAAAACATAAATAAAACAAACTGAAGAAAGTCAAATACAGAGTATACAGTCAAAGCAACATGACAGAAAACTAAAATATTTTCTTAAAGATTTCAAAATAAAACATTACAAAGGAGGTCAACTACAGAATACATATTTAACATAGTGGGGCTGGTGAGTGTGGGCCTCACCCCCAAGTCCAGGTGGAAAGGGCCTTGCGGGGAGCGGCCTTCATGCCTCACAGCCGGGCCACGTTCCTAGCTGCAGATCAGGCACCTGGTGGCACAGGTTTTTAAGCTTCCAGTGCCATTGACCCACTATAGATGTCTATAGATTTCCCTGTGCAAATTATTTTACCTGGGCCACATTGCCAAAGTTGCTGTCATGTTAATGGTTTATGTGGTCTAAAGGGTACATTGCACATGCTCTTTGTAGTGCCTTGTCTTTTGTTAAAATGTGCGCTTTGCCATGAAAGGCATTTAAATCTTGCGCAGTGCACGTAAGGAATAAGGGGACAGATGCATACGATTCCCGGGGAGTTTTGCCCCTTGAATTAAATTTTGCACGCACAGTTTCACATTTGCCTGCGCAGCCGTTTACTTTGTGAGTAAAGGTAAAGTACAAATGAGACTCCCCCAAAAGAGCCCACCCCCTGTGTTTCTCTGGAAGGGATGGCGGAGTGCTTCCTGACTGGACTCCCTGGGCAATTCTGCACCCACCCCTTTTATGTGGAGTTGGGGAAGAATTACTTGATCCCAGGAAGGGAAGATTCAGTGTAGGCAATTAGGGTAGAGAAGTACAGTATATGATGTAGTGACACAGCAGGCACCCTCTTCTGTGGGTGGGCCCACAAGAGGCTTTTTAAATATGTACAGTGGTGCCTCGCAAGACGAAATTAATTCGTTCCGCAAGTCTCTTCGTCTTGCGAGTTTTTCGTCTTGCAATGCACGGTTTCCCATAGGAATGCATTGAAAATCAATTAATGCGTTCCTATGGAAACCGCCTTCAGACCAGGTCCGGGGACAGTCTGTCCGCCGACCTCTTCTGAAGGCTGGGGGGGGGAAAGGGCTTTTCTTCCCACCCCCAGCATTTTAAAAAACCCCGGGACAGCGGAGGACTTCTCCGCTGTCCGGGGCAATCTTAAATGCTGGCGGGCGGCATTTTAAAATCGCCCCGGGACAGCGGAGGACTTCTCCGCTGTCCGGGGCGATTTAAAAGCCCCTGGGAAGGCAGGCAGGGGGGACAAAGGCTTTTGCCCCCCGCCAGCCTTCAGAAGAGGTCCAGGACCTCTTCTGAAGGCGGGCGGGGGGCGAAAGTCTTTGCTCTCCCCCGCCTGCCTTCAAAAGCCGTCCGGGACAGTGGAGAAACGCACTGCGTTTCTCCGCTCTCCCGGGAAGGCAGGCAGGGGGGAACAAAGACTTTTGCCCCCCGCCGGCCTTCAGAAGGTGTTCCGGCCCCGCCGCCCGGCTTCGGAGGAGCCTTCCGAAGCCCAGCGGCGGCGGGAGGAGGTGTTCCCGCCCCGCCGCCAGGCTTCGGAGGAGGTCCGAGGACAGTGGGGAAGACGCGCTGCGCTTCCCCGCTGTCCCGGAGATTTCCCTATGGGCTGTCGTCTTGTGAAGCAAGCCCATAGGGAAATTCGTTTTGCGAAGCGCCTCCAAACGGAAAACCCTTTCGTCTAGCGGGTTTTCCGTCTTGCGAGGCGTTCGTCTTGCGGGGCACCACTGTAATTTAATTTATGTGGCACCAGCACTTCTCTAAGAGCACACTGGATTGGGAATAAATAGTCTAAACTACCTCGCTCTTTATTTAGAAACTGAATAGCCAGAGGTGCTGTGTGTGAGAGAGTAAAACAGCTTTATGACTATTGAATGTGGGGAAGGGGAGGGGAAATAGAATATGATTGTTAGCAGACCTTCTGCATGGCTTTTCCTTTTTATAATTCAGCCACCCATGTTGTCTCTGCCTCCCAGAATATGATTGCAAATAGACACTTGGAAAAGCTGAGAATACGTTGCTGTTTTAAAAAAACGAATAAAGCAAGGGAATAGTGTTACCGTTCTCCTGTTAATGTAAGAGGTAACAATTTCAACAATTTTTTCTAGCAGCATGAGTAGAGTATGCTTGCAAATTACGTGGGGTGATGTCCTGGGGTTTGCTCCTAAAGCCAAAATCTTGTAGTCAAAGCCCATTGGGTTCATTGACGGGTGGGATTGCCAAAGCCTTTTTTTTAAAAACTCCACCCTTTTTTGCTTCCCCCCTTTTTTACATTTTTTGCCATACGTGTATAGCTGAATGCACACAAGTTAAATGTGCATCAGTTGTGGGCTTACTGTATTCCTAATGGAAGATTTTTACATGCATGATGAGTAATTACTACCTAAGTGTCAGTCACTAGTTTCCAGAGAGTTCTGCCCAAAGCAACACAGTTATACCTCGAGTTGAAGTAGCTTCGGGATAAGTATTTTCGGGTTGTGTGCTGCGGTGACCCGGAAGTAATGGAGCATGTTACTTCCGGGTTTTGCCGTTCGCGCATGCACAGATGGTCAAAATGACGTCACGCGCGGAAGCGGCGAATCGCGACCCGCACGGACGCGGGTTGCGTTTGCTTCTGGGTGCGAACGGGGCTCCGGAACGGATCCCGTTCGCATCCAGAGGTACCACTGTATACAACATGTGGCCTGAGAAAACACAGTAAAACACAATAAAGAAATAAATGCTATAAACAGGCAAGAACACCACCCCAGCAGAAATGGTCTGGTTTCTTTGGAGTCACAATAATAGTTTTGCAACACACACTTCATGCACTGGCTGGAAGGAAAGAAAGAAAGAAAGGAAGGGAAAAGGGAGTTAGATAAAAATCATTGTGGTGATTCGGAGGTGTTTAGTCCATCAGGTCATTTTTTCAGTACCATGCCCCCACCCCCCTGTCAGTCAGCTGACATCACTCTGATGGGTGGGGGACATCAGCTGATGGGCAGAGGGTAGAGTTCGATTTTGTGTAAGCTGCGTATACAGTATCAGGTTTACTCAAGTTCCCATTGCAGGCAGGTTTCCCACATCTAACGCAGTGCAAACGCCTTCCTGATCAAAATGAAGGGTCCCCCCTCCATTTTAGCAGTGTCTTGCTGCCTGCAAGGTGCTTTGAAGGCCTTTGTATCTTACATGATAGATCACCAGTAAGCTGTTGAGCTGCTTCTGGATTTGTCTTTGTGTAACATGGTAAATGGCACTAAGAACAGGCTGATTACAACTGGGGATTTATGTGGAGATGCTGTTACATGTGTTTTGTTTTTGATCACACCAATCCCTTTGCTAGTTCTGCTGTTAGCCATTTTAGTAAATTCCTTTGCTGTCAATTTTCTTCTAGGTCTTCTCAGTGGGCAGACAGCTCCTACCAACATAAAACTGGAGAAACTGGATTCTCAGCAAGTTCTACAGCTCTGCCTGCGATACCAAGACCACCTTCACCAATGCGCAGAAGCGGTTGCCTTTGACCAGAATGCTTTAGTCAAACGGATCAAAGAGGTATGGAATATGCTGGGGTTGGAGAAGCAAAGGGGGTTCTGTGAAGCCATCTTCAACAGCCCTTGCCCTTTTGAGGCAAGAAAAGCCCTTCAGCTTTCCCACTTTATTCCCCCCACCTCTCATTTGTAACATGACTGGAGAAAACTGCTCTATAATGATGTCTCTCTGGGGGAGAGAACAGTAGTTTAAAGCAGGTTAAAGTCCTATTTACGCTAGTTGTGTCGGACCAAAGTGGTGGTGTTACAAGACGTTGCCCTGCTCCACCCCTCTTCCCACCAACATCCGCTCTAAGCTGCTTCTGTCACAGCTTTCCTCAGTTCCATCCACGCAAAGGTCCATCTGCCTCTTCAACCATGGAAGCCCCTCTTACCAGCTTGATTGAGGGAACCCCTTTATGGAGAGGAGGAATCCTCAGTCCAGGCTGTCGTATGCGTTTTGGTCATCACTTTTGTTTTGATATTTTGTTTGGTTTAATGTATTTTTATTACACTTTATTGCATCATGGGGACTTTATTTTTTTAGTAAAAAGTGATATACAAGTTAGATAAATCAAAGCAAGCTGCACTTTCCATTCTTCAGCTGCAGTCCTACTTTCTTCGTGTATCATCTGTTTTAGATTATAAACTCCTGTAAATACTGACCAGTTGCTTGATTGTGTACATCCTAGCTGTTGTAGATGCTTGATAGTTGGCATTAATATTGCATTTGAGCAAATATGTGGAGAAAATCATTGACCAGTGAATGTTGTTATCACTTAGATTGTTAGATCATTGGCTTGTATTACACAATTCAACATACTCTGTTCTAAACAGGTAATAATTGTGCAAATGTCACGATCAGTGTTTCTGCCCAACTTCCTTTTGCAAACTAGATTGTACCACTGTCTCTTTTCTCTCTTATTTTTCTCCCTTTCTTAAAATAAGCAATGAACATAACATGCTATTTTTATTGGGTGGTTGCTTAATCTTTACTTACTTTCCATACAGGGCAGCCAAGATTCATAGTTAGCATGACTCAGAACTCAGAACTTCCATATGGCTAGATGAACAATAATGTGATTCACTGCATTTATTGAATGCCTGCAATCCTTTCATGCTGTGTTGAATCCCAGTTCAGATGTGAACCATTTTTATTTTTTAAAAGTATTTTGGTCAACACATAATCTGAAGCCAACTAATTACACAAGGTGTGAATGTATCTGCAGATGTTGATGACTCAGATTACTTCGATATCCAGCAATTTCTTTAATTGCCAACTTGAAGAAACTGTGCTAATTCAAATAAAGCCTGTAAACCTTCCTGAAACTAGATTCATCTTTCTGTCACTCTCTGATGGTGACTGCTCTTGCTTTTAGTTTGAGTGGAGAACTAACAGGGAAGTCTATCTGCCAACAGAGGGAAACAAAACAGCTTGTACAGTGGTACCTCAGGTTAAGTACTTAATTCGTTCCGGAGTTCCGTTCTTAACCTGAACCTGTTCTTAACCTGAAGCACCACTTTAGCTAATGGGGCCTCCTGCTGCCGCCGCGCCACCGTCACACGATTTCTGTTCTCATCCTGAAGCAAAGTTCTTAACCTAAAGCACTATTTCTGGGTTAGAGGAGTCTGTAACCTGAAGCGTATGTAACCTGAGGTACCACTGATAGTAACATAATTCTATTAAAATTTTATGGTGTGCACGGTATAAAAGTAAAAAATGTAGGTAATAAGAGTCATAAAACTAGAAGGAAACAATAATTAATAGTGCAAGTCTGACACACTTAACTACTGTCAGTTCTTACCAGATGAACCCTGTGAAATACTGTGGTTTGGGACTGCACCATGTAGCAGTAGTTTTTGACTAGCAGCGGAAGCCAAAATGAAATGACATATAGACACTGTTTTCCCCCAAGGTGTACTCAAGGGTACGCAGTACCCGTACCTCTTTGTTTTGGGGGGGGGGTTAAAAAGTGTAACACTTACTGTATCAACTTCATTATGAGTACCTATTTTTCTAGGGAAAAAAGAGATGACATATGGTCTGGTGAGAAATATGAATATGAAAGACTTCCATGATTGTTGCTTCCTCCAGATCTTGCTGGTATTCGGTTTATGTTTAGCAGCATACAATTCCAGGATGAACAATTCCAGTGATTTGCGCTCAAGAAATCTCTACTTTCAGAGAGACCTGTGGAAGGAAGTTACAGCAGATAAGAATATAGTTGTGCTTATATTGTCTCTAGAGAATATTAAAAGATCATGGCTTTGCCCATGAAAGAAATGGATCACAACACAAAACTGGTGATCCAGGAGGCAGATAGCCAAGGGAAGACAACCCTGTTAGTTCCTGAGATCATCAGATGAAGGCCTCCTAGTACTGCAGCCTTCAGAAAATAAATCATGCTGAAGGAGGGTCTTCATAGTAGTAGCATCTTCCATCTGGAACAGCGTCCTCTTAGAAATAAGTTATGCGCCAATGGAATTACGTTTCCGGCACATCTTGAAAACGTATCTGTTTATTCAGGCATTTCCTGGCCATTAATACCATTCACCCAGATGGCTGGTTGCTGTGATTATTGTGAATTGTTATATTATGGTGGATCATGTATTATTGTTTTAATGCAGTGGTAAGGAATATTTTCCAGCCAGAAAGCCGGATCCTGGGTTCCCCCACCCCCAGCAGACCCCTTTGATAGCTGGGTGGGTCCTTAGATATTTATTATCTGCAGAGATGTAATTTCTTCATTAAAGAAGTCATAGGAAAGGATGTTCGGGAACAATATTTTGCTCAGAACATTATAATCAGGGTTCTGTATACTCTCAATAAAAATCCTATTCCAGGAAAAGTTGAATTCCAAAACCCATATGTGTTATGCAAATTTTCCTAATTTGCCCAGTTCTGCAACTTTTAGAGTTTTGCATTATTTGTTCTTGTTTTGCTAATTACAGTTTTAAAAAAAGCGCTATACAGGACAGTGATCCTAATTCTCACTCAACTATTGGAAAACCTGTTTGGCTACTTATCTGGCTTCTGGGATTCCTCCTTATGTCACACCTTCATATGTAGATTTATAGCCACAAGAATTAGAAACTTGCTTTTCCTGTAAGCTGAAGTTCCTGAGACATAGCCTGTGTTCTGGTAGACTGAGAGCAGGTACACAGCCCTAATTATATAAGGCACTGCATTAGGAGGGAGGTTTTAGCCCTGCCGTGTTCTTGTAAATGTACCAGTATAGTGATGTCTTTGTATTGAGTTGTGGTCAAGATAAAGCTACATAAGTGGAAGAGAAGGCGCTGGATTTGGATTTAGAGAAGAAACCTAGGTGAAAGGCGTCGGTTTGGTAGCTATCCAGGAAAACACTATTTTCAATTGACCCTGGCTGTTCAGCAGTGGGGTGAAGGCTTCCTGGCTGACTTTGTGTCTCCTTTGTGTTGTGTATTGTTGGTTGGCTTGCTTGCCATGTTTCTTATTGTATTGAACTTCAAATTAAGTTCAGATGCTACATTTGAAGAGAAAACTCAATTCTGTGATCCGGAAGTTTGAAGGCACTTTCTTCCCTTACCACGCACAGAAGGTAGCTTGCAAATTGAACTCTTTTGTATTCATCAGCCCTCAGGATTCCCTAGTCTTCCCAATCCTGGTGCATTTGCAATCTGAGGATTGGATCACAAGTACCCAGAGTTTCTGTCTGCACATAAATGCATTACTAGAGCATTTAAAATGCTACTGTCAATAATGTGCTAAGGGGAGGAGAAGATATGGCTGCTGCTTTCTTCCTACTCTCTCTGGAAATTAGCACGTGTACAGGATTGTAGAATAGATACTAGCTAGGTTTTAACCAAACTTTCATTTCCTCAGGTATTAGTAGTCTGTCCTTCCTCACTCCAAAGCCTTGGAGTGAATTATAATGGTAAAAACAAGAACCTACACACCACTCAAACCAAACAAAATCTCCAGTTCTCAGGGAAAAGAATGCCAGCCCCCCTCTTCTGGACCAAGCTCTGGTTTTGAGAAATCTCCAATAGAAGAGAGTACCACAACTGTAGGGCAGCCTAGGAGACCACCTCTCTGTGTTGTTGCTCTTCCAACTTGGTTCTTGAATGGTAAAGTCAAGGAAGCAGTTTCTGCTGATCTGTTAACAGTTGTGAGATAATAAAGCAAGCAGGTGGTCTCCAGTAAGTGTTGGGCGTCAGGCCTAAAACTTTATGCAGCCCACAGCTCCTTGGGGAGGAAGGGTGGGATATAAATTAAACAAATTCAGCAACAGCAGCAGCTGTGAGCTGGTAGAACAAACCCAGCACCTTGAAATGTGCCTTGAATTTTTTTGGGTGGGGGGACCAGGTTCATAAGCTAATCTGCTTGAACGTTTGCCCTTAAATTCCAATTTTCTGTCCATTTGATTTATGGCTAGGTTTATCAAAACCCTTAATTTACATTGTTTAAATTCCATATTTCCTCATTTGAATGAAAAGTTTTTCACTTCTTCTTAGGAAACAAAGAGGCCCAGTTTCTGTGAGTCTCCAGGTGAAATGAATTCCAGAGGTGAGAGACTTTCCCTAAGTATTTCCTGGACAGCTTTATAGATTGTGATGACTCATAGGAATGTGGAAGTGGATTTATATGCCAAACCCAGGCCATTTAGGTTTGTGTACATCATGGCCACCATTTTGACCTCATACTGGAAAGCAGCAGGGAGACAGTGGAGACCCTAAAGTCCTGTTTCAGGGCACTCTGTGCAGCTGAAGCCCATCAGAAATTTTGTTCCATGTGTGAAAAGAAAGGAAGCCACAAGAAAGAACAGGGGAAAGTGATGGTTTCAGCTCCTGCGTGAAAACCCCCCCAGGCTTTGTCTACATGACCAAATGATAATCTTGAATTTGAGAACTTGCATTATTAATTTGGGGATGAGCAGAAGCCTTTTAAATCACCAGTTTAAAAGTCTTGCCAAAAAGGTGTATACACACACACACACACACACACACAATCACAACCCCTGTAGGAAAATTCACATCTACCCCACACTTTCTGTACTACTGCAGAGGAGCAGGGGACTATGCACATAACCCCACAAGAAAATTCACATTCTCTTTGTTGCAGCAATGTGTTGGGATTGACTCACCCACAAAAACCCTGCTTGTTCAAGTGGTTTACTCATGTGAGCAGTGCATCGCTTGCATAGCATGCTGCCCTTTTCTTTCCAGGAGCTGGGGAATGGCAAGTTCCTTGTGTCATCTTGTAGAAACGTGCTGCTTCCTTGAGTAGTCCATTTCTAAGGCCAGTTTCTTTGTCCAGCATCTTTGGCCCATCAAATGGACGCAGCCGACTCTCACTTGCCCTTGACTTGAAAGTGTGAAGCAACCTCTACTCAACAGGTTTATGTTTAATGGAAGGCAACTCTTAGAATTTCTGTAATTGTGTGTCAGGTTCTGTCTAGGGAGCTATTAAAAGGGGTGAAGGAATTGCAATCCCCTATCAGTGTCTAGCATACTTTGGTTGACTTGCATGCAAGGGGCCTCTTCAAAATTCTGAGAAACACTTTTAAGGCCTGAGTGTCCTGCTCAGCATAACGTGGAGAGAGACTGAGATTGCCTCGCTGAACTCTCATTATGGTCACTAATTTCAGCAAGGGATGATTTCAGAGAGTTTGGAATATTTCTGCCAACTTTGAATGAGACTCTTATGCTTGAGATTGTTCACTGAATGACACAGTTTTAAATAATGGAAGCAGGAACTTGGCCTGCCATGAATTTGTTATGACTGACTAACAGCAGAAACTCTGGGTTTTCTTTCTTTCTTTCTTTCTTTCTTTCTTTCTTTCTTTCTTTCTTTCTTTCTTTCTCTTAATTACTTCACTTTTTAACAGAGATGGTAAAAGGCAATAAATCATAAATGTACAGTTTTCATGAGGCGCCATGCAGTGCTTTTTTCCTAAAAAAATGTTTAGGGGTACTCTCATTTTCCTACTCATGTTGAAATACTGCCCCTCAATGAGGCCAAACTTAGATTCACAAAATGTTAAGGGGTATGCGTACCCCTGCGTTCCCCGAGGGAAAAAACCTCTGGTGCCATGTATGTTGATAGTACCATACATTAACAATGTAAAAACAGACAGAAGAATTTGGTAGAGTTAATTCAGAAAGCAAATAAAAATCAATGAACATGCATAACCTTCCATACATGTGTTTAATGTGTGCAGGTACATTAACTATAGGTTTGCTTTGTTCTGTCATTACTCTGTCAATGTTGTGATCTCTCCAGGTATGGGGTGTTCAAATAAATTTAAAAAGTGCAGGACTGTAGTTGAAATTCACCAAGGAGCTGCTCTGAAAAGAGCTGTCATACAAAACCACCAGTGCAAATTGCATGCGGATGGGTGGTCTTGTGGTCTTGTAAGCCAGTCTGAAGGTGGTGGGCCCCAAGGTTAGAAAAAGTACGAGATCATATTCCCAAAACACCACTGGTGGGATTGCGAAGCAGGATGGGCAGTTCACCAAGGAGAGGAACTGAACTTTATTGCCTGAATAGTGCAAATCTAACTTTGCCATCAGTTGGCATGTCATGGCTGTGATAAAGTTGATAACAATGTTAACCAGCACAAGCTGGTTAAAATACAGTATTATGGTCTAATAAAAAGCACAGGGAGAAATTGGTGATATTGTTAGCCACCAGTACAGTACCTGGCTTGTGTCAGTGATTCCCCATCTCTGTGCTGCAAGAAATATGATGAAGGGGACCTGTGATTCCATAGCACCTGTTCACAGATGAGGCTGCCCACTTGGCATGAGCTCTGGTCTTGCATTATTCAGATAAGTCTCCACTATAGTTGGGTGGTTCCAGTTACATTCCGACGTTCAGTCATTCCTAGAGTCAAGGCACAGCAGAATTAGCTACCCTCAGAGGAGGAGGCCAGTTGTGTGAGTTGTACTTCTGAATTTGCCATCTCTTAATCTAGAGTTATGCTCAAGACAGATTGAGGGAGGGGCTCTTCAGAGGTTGACTAACTCTAAAAAGTAATCATTTTCTAGTGTAAGTGTGCCTCCAATTTAATTTTTTATTTTTGGCGGGTGTTCCCAAACATTTAAGAAGCACAAACCAGTGCACGAAGCAAGGTTACATGTGTCTACTTGGAATTTCAAACCTATTATTGGGAGATAATGCAGTCCAAATTTGTTGGAACACTTTTGCTGATCCACCCCAAATCAGTGGTTAGAAAATGCATTACCTCGCAGAAGTTAAAACAAGAAATGGTTTTTCCGGAGGTGGTGATTGTTTTACAAGACCAACTTCTGAAAGTTTGGTGTATGACTAATCCTTACTACATTGTGTCTTTGTATATCTTCCTAATTTAAGAGAAGTGTTCTTGGGGGGGGGGGATCTTGTAATGTTTGGTAGGACCAAGGCTTTTTTCAGTCCCAGCACCTCTCAGGTGGGCGCCATTTGCATTCTAAGAGAACAAGGAAGGTGTTCAGGGTGAGTTCCAGCACCTCTTGTGCTAGAAAAATAGCACTAGCTAGGACTAGCCAGAAGTTTATTTCTGCTTCTTATTGTTATGGCACAGTTCCATCAAGAGCTCAGAAAGCACAGCTCCCTGCCCCAAGGAGTTTACAAAGGGGCAGTAATACAGGGGGAGAGGCAAAAAATCGGGAAGACAAGGAAGGAGCAGTGTGAGAGGTGCAAACAAAAGGACAGAGAGGCTTTTAAAAATGGTTAATGACTTGTCAGTAATCTTGGTGGTCGCTGTGGAAGAGGCGGGAAAGCTTTCTCAGCACAAGGACAACATTCCCCAAGGGCTTCCATCGGGGGCTCGCAAGTCAGTGGTGTGCAGGACCAGAGGCTTGTGTGAATGCCTGGAGGCGGTTGGAGGATGACTGGTGGCTAACAGATTGAGGTTGAATCCTGACAAGACAGGAAGCGGGCAGGTGTGAGGGACTCCCTGGTCCTGAGTGGGGTAACTGTGTCCCTGAAGGACCAGGTGCGCAGCCTGGGAGTCATTCTGGACTCGCAGCTGTCCATGGAGGTGCAGGTCCATTCTGTGTCCAGGGCAGCTGTCTACCAGCCCCATCTGGTACTCAGGATGAGACCCTACCTGCCTACAGACTGTCTCTCCAGAGTGGTGCATCCTCTGGTTATCTCTCTCTTGGAGAGTGGCTGGGGGGACCCAGCCAGATGGGCGGGGTATAAATAATAAAGTATTATTATTATTATTATTATTATTATTATTAGCAGAATAATGGCAGCCTCTGTACAGTTGGCTGCATTCCAGTCATGCAAAAATCAGGAACTTTCTGCACTCCTCTCCCCATGCACACCCACCTGCCCACACCTCTAGTATATCTGTATTGTGAGGAGCAGGCTGTGGTTGAGATGGGCCGGTTACAAAATCACTTTACCAGGGAAAGTGAGGGTGGGAAATGGCTTCAGAGTGAGCCAGAAAGTCCTTTCTCAATTGTCTGGAGAAAGGATTTATTTCCTGGTTAGTTTTGAAGACATTTGCTAGTGTGTGTGTTATCAGCTGATTGTTGGTGCTTGCAAAGTGTTGTGCTTAGGGCTTTGTAGGGACCACTGATCAGCAGGGCACGCAACCCCTTTTTGGCCCCAAACAGCTTCGTGGGCCAAATGGGACCTGGCAGGACTCATTAGGGCTGCCGACTGGAGATTCCTTACTGCTGTGCCTGGCCTGGTACAGCCAACCCCCGTACTGTTGGGGGCTGGGAGAGATGGAGGGCAGAGGAAAAGTCTCAGGGGCCACATTTGGCTCCACAGTCCATGGAAAGAACATCTCGTTCCTCCAAGAGGTGACTAATTGAACACAACCGTCCTGTTGTTTTTGTAAACAGATGGATCTTTCGGTAGAAACCCTCTACAGCTTAATGCAGGAGCGCCAGAAAAGATATGCCAAATACGCTGAGCAGATCCAGAAGGTCAATGAGATGTCTGCCATCTTGCGTCGCATCCAGATGGGCGTCGACCTGACCATTCCCCTGATGGAGAGACTGAATGCCATGCTGCCCGAGAGCGAGAGGCTGGAACCGTTTACCATGAGCCCTGACAGGGAGCTCAAGCTGTAGTTTTCTGATACAGCCTTCAGTCATCTTTTTCCTGGACCCTACTTGATAAGGAACTTACTTGGAACACGCTTCACAAGCCAGAGTGAGTAGAGCAGAGGTATCAGTTCTGTGTTAGGTAGAAAGACTGTGTTTGGCTTGCAGGGAATGTTCAATACACACATCAACTTGGAATGAAATGCCATTTCTTACCTCTCCTGCTCCCAGCTGCTTGCCACCACTGCCTCCACCCACCAAAAAATTGCTTTAACAAGGTTCAGATTTAAACCTTCACATCCTTCCTCTACTGTTGTGCACATTAGTGTGCTTACTGAGGAATCCTTCCAGCTGCAGAGGATTCTGGGGCATGCTCTAATGTAGTTTTTCAACTGTTTCTTGTAAGATTGGTGTTGGCAAACAAACTGCCCACAAGAGCTTCACCATCATTGCCAGCCTTCCTCTCGAACACACCTGAATTCTACAACTCACTCCTAGCAATTCCAGCATACACATGAGTGTGAAAAACACAGAGAAGAGGAAGTTTGATGGTCATTGTTCTAGAGCAGGGTCCCAGTTTGGGCCATGAGGCCATTTCCCCTAAACCATGTCCACCTGCACATCATGTGTGGGGCAGGTAGAGACATGGCTAGATTCAGCTTTGCAACTTGCTCACACAGCCAGTCTCTGCAGAAAACAGCATTGCCATCCTGTGCTAAGTGCTTTGCACAAGTATAGGGCAAACCCCCTTGTGCTGTGGTTCCCAAGCGCCCAATAACCAGTAAGCTGTCAGGCACTTGAGAAGCGCTGTGGAAGGGACTTTGACAGAGGGGTGAGACAACCTGCCTGCCAATCATATGAAGTCATAAGTCAATCTGGTGACTGATAGGTGAGTCATCTTGACCACCTGTTGTTGACCTGTGGTGGTGGGCAGGATCTCCCTCCTTTAGGGTTTTTCTTTAAATTGGCTTCTTATTTTATAGGGCTATTAAATGTGCAACTGCTTGAGCTATGTGACTATCACAGCTTTGCAGGCAGCAGAGCTAGAGCCTGGGTGATGGTTTAGGCTGGTGTTTCCAACACCTGAATGAAAGGAGTGCCTCTTGCCCTATCCTATTGATTTGCTTTGCCAGATGATTCTTAACACGATGGATAAAGCATGACGAGGCAAGGTTATGTCCATATCCAAAGGAAACTGTAAAGCCTGCTACGCTGGGAAAGGTTGGCTCATATGCCAAAGGCACCTCAGAGGTATGCCATAAAAATGCCACCTTGCTGTTTGCAGTTGAATCTCTCCAAAGATGGCTGCTTTATGGTCTCAGTTCAGGGGCAAGGCCATGCTAGTTTGGACTGATGTCTCCTGCTCTGTAATTCTGGTGCGGCTTTGAAGCTGTGCTGTGCCTAGAATTAAAAAGGGTTTGGAGGCTATTTCAGAGTTGCCTTCTGCATTTCAAACACTTTTATTTATGTAAAGCACTTGATTTTGATCCAAGCCTATGTAGTACACTAGTGTGGAAGTCTTCAGTCTGTGGATGTAGCTGCTTGACCAACTGGAGCGACTGCCGCTTTGTTTTCCCTATGTGATTCCTTTGCTGGCTGGGTCTGAGGAATCCTAATATTGTCATATTATTCAGTTTTGTTCTGGCACACTCGAATTCCCTCTTATCCCCAAGTCTTTGAAGGAAGGAATGGAAAGTTGCTTTTATCTGTTATTACTTAGCTTGAGAGATGAATCCAAGAGTGAAAAGGAAAAAGAAGACACTTGATACTCCTCTCTGTGGTAGAAGGGTCTACGTGGGGGTAGCCACTGGAGAAGGGACTCCTGGTGGGGAAAAAGGAAATCTGCTGTATTGCTCCAGGGCTGAAGAAGGGATTGGCAAAGTCTGTCTCCTACAGCTCTTACTACTGTATATGTTTCCAGTGGTATATGTATATGTAACCACTTGTTCTCAGAAGTGTGCACTCTTCCTTTGAAAAGGAGAAGCAACCACTAAATCATGATTAAGGAAGTGAGAGGAAAATGTCTAAAAAGGGCTATGCTTAACTATCAGAAATGATTATGAATAGTAGGAGAGCTTTTACCCAAATACACATGAGCAATCTGTGGTTTGAGGTCAGCGACAGAGTGCCTCTTCAGCTAACAGAAGTTCCACACAGTGGCTAAGCATGCAACATCTTATTTTAAGGAATGCTTTTTCCAAAGAAGCTATTCATCAGGTCCTTTTCAAAAAATAACCCTTGAGTTATGTAGTTCATGCCCCCTTGAATCCTGGTTGGCACACTCCTGCCCTCCCTTCTTTTAGAGGGAAGTATTTTATTGTGCCTTTTTTCTTTGATTTTACCTGATAGTTTTGGAGTTTGACAGCTGTACCATTATTTTATATTTTTGTCTTCTGCATTATTTTGTTGGCACAATTGCTTATTAATTCTAAATAACTATTTTGGTTGAAAATTAGTATGGTAAATAAATAATAAGCAATCTTACATGGATGGCTGCCAAGGTGTTGCAAAACCCCCCAGATGCAACCAAAAGTGGGGAAAGGGTTCAGCTGTAGTTCTAGAAGATTCTAATGTCATATTCTGATTGCTTTACTTTCAAAATATGGCCTGGTCTCTTAAAAATGGATGCAAGTTAGTGTTATTTCTGCATTACACTTTTTGTTGTACAACACAACTCTAGCTAAGAAATAGCATTTAGCAGACCAGCTGGCCTTTGAAATGCTAAAGCCATATTTGGAACAATATGCTCAGTGTTGCCAGATTCCAGCACTGGTAGTCAAAAGGCATACACTGAAGGCTGATAACATGTTCTTTGGACGCATTATTCTAAAAGCTGTGCTCTAGGAAAATGTTATCACACCACTTTGCTTCTCATTTTGGGGGACCAGTTCTGCTTGCTTTATTGACTACAGTTCTAGTCAGGAAAACCTTTGAGCTATTTTCACTGCAAGTCATGTCTACTCAAAAGTAAGCCTCATTTAGTTCAATGGCTCTTACTTTTCAGGTAAGTGGGTACAGGATTGAAGCCTTAAAGTATGGAGAGGAAAAATAAATGTCTTCATTACTCATTCTGCTCCAAGCATGTATTCACAAAGTTGTCCACCAGGGTGGAACTTGGTAGGCAAACGCACTGAATTCCTGAAATACATTGAATTGTATTGGATCTGTTGAGAGCCAAATTTGGCACAGTGTTCCATTTAATTATGTGTAATAGCAGTAGAAAATGTAACATGTACAAATATATTGTGCATTGGACTCCTGCGTAAAAGTGCAAAGAGTTATGTAGTTAGCGAACCATCAAGGCAGGTGGGTATTTCGGTCCAAGCAGCCGATATGCCCCTCGTGAGCTAGCAAGATTTCCAGACTGGATTGGGAACCCGGAAAGCGCATCTGCTTTGCAGTGTGTATTTGGCTATGATGCAACCTCATCACTCTTAAATTTTAAGCATATTTCTATCCAGTTGGAATGCAGGTAGAAAAGCATCTCTCTAACCATTTTCTCAATCTGCATTTGCGCTTTTGAGCACAACTGTTATCTACTGTAATAATTTAATTCTGAGGAAAACCTGTAGGTGATCCTTACTGAGACTTGGCTTGCTAGGGTGCCCAGATGTTAAAATGCTCTGCAGTGAAAACACATTGCTTGCCTACTTTTCCTAGATCAGTGGTTTTCAAAGTGGAATTTCCTTTTGGGGAAGTTGTCCCTCCAGGGGTCTGTGAAATGTGATCCTATGCTGTAATTTCTGCCCTCACAGTTCTGTCTAACACTTATGAAAACTGTGATCTAGAACATGCCCCAGAAACTTCAGGGAATCCCCCCAGGCAGACGGGCAGCGTTCTTCAGGGTTTTTAAGTGCTTGCTGAAGGTGCACATTTGGACATCTAATGTGTTCATATTTTTAGGCCTTGGAAATAGAGAAGGGGGAATCAGTGGTGGTGAAGCAGTTTCTGACAGCTTTGTGTCAGGTGCACTGTGTAGTTTTCCTTTTATTGCAACTTGTACAAATTTGATGGGTCTTGCATTACATTGCAAGATGTAGATACTACTCTAACACAATGTTATTTCAGCTGGGAATATTTATTACTGTTTGGTTTTATTATTAATTAAAGGACATGTGACATGCCAGCTTTCTTCTGGGTTGTGTTTCTGGTGTTTGATTTTTAAGAAACAGCCCAGCTGTTCTATCAGCAGATGGAAAACCCTCCTTACTCCCACCATTTCCCAAAAACAGAGTCCCCTGAAGTCCTGTTGCTATCACTCCAGTTGTTCCCCACACTTCACTTCCCCCTGACTTGACAATTGGGAGTAAGATGGTGTTTCTTTGTTGGCTGGATTTGGCTTTGTGTCTGCCAGTTGCTGACCTGTGCTTAAAAGAAATATTTTAAGTATTTGTATATTATAAAATTGGACTAAGTACAGACTGATCCTGGACTCAATAGTGATGTGTGCTCATACTACTCATCTCCCCAGAGTGATGTTAAGGGGAAGGCTACCTGCATGGCGTTGGAGTGCCCACTGACACCAATGGCTGAGGGGAGGGGTTGCAATTCAGAAGCCATTTTGCCTATAAAATTTGATCTTGACCATATTTTTGATTTGCTCTTTTGTCCACTCATAGTTTAGATAAGGGAATCACATGGAATAGACAGATAGTATAGGACCAATTAAGACTTAATATTAACACTTCTTATATGTGGTCACAGTAACTCTGACACCCTAGCAAGGTAGGCAGTTAGCATCCCCATATTGCAGTTAAGGTGCTAAGGGTAAGATTGAGGCTTTGTCAGCCTCATGAGAGCCAGTGTGGTGTAGTGGTTAAGAACGGTAGATTCATAATCTGGGGAACCGGGTTCGCGTCTCCGTTCCTCCACATGCAGCTGCTGGGTGACCTTGGGCCACTCACACTTCTCTGAAGTCTCTCAGCCCCACTCACCTCACAGAGTGTTTGTTGTGGGGGGAGAAGGGAAAGGAGAATGTCAGCCACTTGGAGACTCCTTAAAGGGAGTGAAAGGCGGGATATCAAATCCGAACTCCTCCTCCTCCTCCTCCTCCTCCTTCTTCATGGTGGAGGTAAGATTTGAACTGGGGGTGTCCTGGGTTAGTTTTCAACCATCAGCCTCCACTTAGAAGTAGTATGTATATGGTTTCTTCTGATATAATCCATGCAATTCTTTGATCCAGTGTTAGATCCATCCATGTGGAAGCACAAACTAAACCCTCCTAGTAATGTATATGATTGTGTCCTAATAAAGTTGAAATAAGATTACACTTGAAGTCTGATGTGCAACTGGGGTTGATACTACACACTTACTAGCAACTCAATCTAGTTGTGAAAGCTCTGATCAGTTTGATTTTGATTCCACCAGTTTCTCCAATATCCTCTTTTTTACAAGGACAGCAATGCACCACAGGCCCCTTGATCCTTGCTTCTTCAGCACAGACAGTTTGTACTTTGTTTTCAGCAAGGGGTACCAAAAAAATCCCTAGGTGTTATTTGGCAAAATACATTTGTGGCAGCATCAGCAGTGAATGGCATTCCTAAAAGGCTGCACTATGCATGGAAACAGTGATTGGTGAAACGAAGTGTCCATGTTCCCCTCACAACTAGTGTCTTTTTGTATCTCATAACCACTGAGCATTAATGCTTTTTGTACTCTCCCTTCAATTTTTGAATGAGCCAAATGCCAGTGTAATCATACATTCTCATATGAAACTAGAGTACATGACACAGAGTTAGGTAGAGTTTCAACCCCTTGGACCTAGAGTTGAAAATAAACATTTGTAGAGGGGAGAATGAAGAGCACAATCTCTTCTCCGAAGTAGAAAGCCCTTTTCTTTAAGAGCAGCAGCCTGCACTGTAAACAGTGCTACCAAACTTTCTTGGAAAGCTGAAGGGCACCACCTAGTTGAATTTAGTTTTGAACAAAACAAAAACAAAAGCTCCACCCCTTTGCCTCTTTTTGCTCCCCCTACAAAAAAGCTCAGTTTTGCCATCAGTTGTTCCTGCCACAGGCAAATATTTTATGCAGTTAGGGATAGATCGTTATTTGGCAACAATTAAAATCTATCCTAAAATCTTAACACACCTGTCTGCAATTGTATTTCTCTGCTGACCTGTTCAGTGCTTAAACCTAAACACCTGCTACTTGGATAATAGTTTTGATGAAGTTAGAAACTGAAGCATACGCAGCTGACTTCTTCATCTTCACCACCACCACCTTTCTAGAGAATGGTGATGTTTCTGGGTTGTATGACAGAAGTCAGATACCTGCTCTCCCTCCCTTGGCTATATAGTGGCATTTTTTTTGAGGGGGTGTTTAATTGGAGACTCTCTGTTCCAAAAATGGTGGCTACATCAGATATTAGATTCTGACCTGATGCCTTAATTTTTCAATACACACCAGCTTCTCCAATAGTGCACAAGCTGGAAATCAGATGCAGGCATGCTGGGCACCATAAACATTTAATGCCATCCTTGATGCCAGCCAAAGAATATTTGTATGGGGTAGAGAACTTGAAATCCACCTGTCCTTTGAAAGAGCACCACTTGTCAATTAAAAGCCATCTATTTTTCAAATAGCATTACTTACTGACAGACAGGGAGCTGGAAACACCTGCAGAAGTCTCTTATTTTAAGAATATGATTGAGCAATCTAACTGGGTATTCAAACTATCCAGACAAAATACATGTTGGTTTTCAGTCAAACTGCACTAGCATTGAGCAGTGTGAGTGCTGCATTCGTTTTCCTCTCTTGAAACAAGCCAAGGCCTTCCAGGTCTAAGCTGCATTGCTGAAGAAATGGGTGGATAATACCACGTGAAAGGTTCAGTTTAAATACTACTTCAAATGAACCATAAGATTTGCTTAGTTTACAAAGGAATATTTTTTAAAACACAGTAAAGTTGGACCATTTTTTGCATCTCACTGCCCCAGCTGTTAAGGGAAATAAAAACATTAGGAGTATCTACACCTTCTGCCTTCAGGGAGGGGAGCAGGGAAATAGCAATTGCCCATTGCATGTATTAGACTTGTCATTTAGTTTTTCACTTGTGCACACATACAAACACACACAAACCTATTCACTTCCTTCACATTGAAGCCACACAATTTGCATTCTTTTCAAATTTCAGATTTACAGGGAATTGTTTGACACAGAAGAAAGGGAGAAATGTAAATCTTAGAATAGAGCTTCAAGATACTTCAATAATCTCCATGCTGCCTGAGAAGCTAGATTGGCTGCCCACTTTCCCAAGTTCCTCTCGGGACCTGTTCTCGGACATGATACTTTCCCCAAATTCCATCTGGCAGCTCCTTCTCTTGAACTGCTTCTCAAAGGAGCTCTCCTCATGCCAGCTGCGCCGCGAGTCCCCCCTGTCTCCATGCTTCTCCCTCCTGCGAACGGCATAGGCTTGCTCACACCCCGTGGGCAGCTGGCTGCAGCTATAGGCAGAGTAGGCTGTGCTGCTCCCATATATAGCCGATGCAGAGTAAAAGCGAGAGGTGTCCGTAGCAAAATACCAGCTGTTGGCCAAAGGTGTCGCGGAAGCCTGTGGGGCTAAGATGTCTGAGTGCCAGCCCTTCAGGCCCAGGCCAGCGGCAGACTTGGCCAAATGCTGCTGGCTGGTGGAAAGGCCAAAGAGGAAGTTAGTTTTATAGTTGTCTTCCATGCTGCCACTTCGATGCAGGGGGTACAAGAGTGACCTCTGGGTGGTGCTAGCAGTTCTCCCCAAGTGCTGCCATTTGCTGTGGCTGTCCAGCAGCCAGGTATTCTGGGACTTCTCTGGAAGCTTTGCTTCCTCTTTATCGGGGCTGCTTTCAGGAGTCTGTTCTGAGACCTCCTGTACAGGGGAGAACTGGCATAGTTTGGCTCCACCTTCCAAGGTGGCTGAATGCTTGTAATATTCCAGTGTGTCCTCCAAGGAGGGGTAGCCCTCTCCTGAAGCAGCAACACAGGTGCTGGTTGCCACACATGACACAGATTTTATATCCAAGGAAAACGACCGCTTTAGCCTGTTATTGTCTTCAACTTTGTCCGAGGATATGTTTAGTCCAATTATGCCTTGTACCAATGGGCTGTCCTCTGATGACAGCAAAGGGGAACCTGGGTGGTTTCCAGATTCCACTGGCTTTTGCTCCACAGTCTCCGAGGTAGATGTAGCACAGAGCGGGAAAGAGGAAAGGCTGCTGCTGCTGCTGCTCCGCTGCTGCTGCTCTGCCCGCTGTCCAGTCTCAGTCCATGATCACTGCTTTTTTCCAAATGCATAATCTTCAGTTTGCTAAGGGATCCAGATTGGCCACTTTGGTTCTTGATTTTCTTCTCAAAGTCTAGAAGCTGGCCAAGGAAGTTGAAGTTGGGAGAAATTGTTGGCCTCTTCTCTTTTACGAATCTAAACAGAAATGTGTGTTTAAAGAAAAAAGAAAAAGAGTTCAGCCAATCCATTAGCCTATGACACCACAACTGAATTCTGAATGCAAGCCATGAGCTGAGGCTGACCAGAGCTCATGTGTTGCACACTAGGGTAAGGTGCACACATTAAGCAAATTCACCTCCTGCTATCCAAAATTCTCCTATTCCCTCAAGCAACCCTGTCCTCTTCCCTGACAGCCCCTATAGCTGGAGCATCCTCCTTCCTTAAAGTTCTTCCTCCAATCTACCCCTGAAAGTGTTGGTTTGACCCCTTAGTCTTCATCTTCTCCTAGGCACATAACTGCATTTGCACAAACTAACCCATTTTCCCCATCCCCTTCTCCCTCATATTTGTGATTTAGATTGCAAACTCACTGGACCAGGAAGCTGTCTTTTCTGTTAGTGGAACACTCTGAAGTATCATTGTAACAGTAGTAGCAGTGCTAAGCACAATTTATGCAGAAAGTTTTCCTGCTCAGGACAATCAACTTGTCTTTGGGAAGGACCAGAAACTATTGCAAAACCCCAACCCCTTGACCAGTAGAACCTCATGTAAAAAGGTAAAGGTCCACTGGATGGGTAAGTCCAGTCAAAGGCAACTATTATGGGGTTGTGGCGCTCGTCTCGCTTTGAGGCCGAGGGAGCCGGCGTTTGTCCACAGACAGTTTTCTGGGTCATGTGGCCAGCATGACTAAACCGCTACTGGCCCAGGGAGGACTGTGATGAGTG